AAATCACCTAAGTAACAGAATTTGTCTGAGTTACTGTGCATTTCATATTTGGGCTTATTGCTTTATGCCGAGATATATATCTCTTTCCATACTCGGCAAATAGACAAATGGATGATGAATGATGGAATGGACAGTCATATTTAATCAGAATCCTAATGGAGAATTAAGAGCATATTTCTGCAATATATCATGTGGTAACAGTGTATTGAAATAAGAGCTGCTGAAAAGAAAGTTGTTAGAAACTTTCTTGGGGGAAAAAATTGAATTGTATAAACCCTAGAGGAATGGAAATAAGCACGTGATGTACGTAGCAACTAATCCGATTGCAGCTATCTTAGTGCAGGTTAAAAAATAAAAGCTAACGTTTTATAATATGCTGCGGGCAGCTGATGCCTATTAAAGCGGAAGTGAAGGAAAAAAAGAAATTGGACATTTGCTCTGTACAAATACATTTCCAATAATGATGGGTGTCACATGTGGCTGGCTGTGGAGTTGGGTATACACTTTATACTCATACTTTAATTCATCTCCGCAACTACTGTATTACCAAAACTTCCAGCACTGTAAATCACAGCTCCACCTCCAATAGAGTCAAGAAGAGCATTGCTCACCCTTCCTCCATTCATAAAATGTCTTGTATTCTTTTCATGGTTTACAAGACATCCTGTGATTGGTCAAGGAGAGGTCCTGGCATTCATCCACCCCTTCGCTCCCCTTATCCAATCACAGAATGCCTTGTATTTTGTGAAAAGTTCAAATTCAAGTATTTGGCGAATGTTCAAGGCTCACAGTAGTAGTCGGGATGAATGAAAGTATGAGTTTTACTTGACACTACAGCCAGCCATATATGTGACATCCCTCATCCCATTATATTTATTTTTTCCCTGGAGTTCAGCTTTAAAGGCAATAGATTTGTTTTAATAAATATAAAAAAGAGATCAGCTTTATATCAACAATGTTATCAATGTGTGTTATTATGTAAAAAATAAATCTTTGCTATTGTGTATAGTTTGTAATTCTCTATGTACATGGGGGCAGCTATACAGGTGAAACTCGAATAATTAGAAAATCGTGCAAAAGTAATTGCAGTAGTTGCTGCAAAAGGGGCCCAAACCAAGTACTGAGTACATATGCATGCTTGTACTTTTCAGAGGTCCGATATTGTTCTATGTACAATCCTTGTTTTATTGATTGCATGTAATAATCTACTTTTTTGAGATTGTGGATTTGGGGTTCTTGGGGTTTTCATGAGCTGTAAGCCATAATCATCACAATGATGACAAATCACGGCTTGAACTATCTTGCTTTGCATGTAATGAGTCTCTCTCATATATTAGTTTCACCTTTTAAGTTGCATTAGTGAAATAAATGAACTTTGCACGATATTCTAATCGAGTTTCACCTGTATATGCTAATTACATACTCAGGCTCTGATTGATGCTTTGCAATGGTACACAATGGTTGTGCTTTAATCAAAATGCACTTTACTGGCCAAGTTATTGAAAACAGTGCAATTGGTGAGGCGCATTAACCTAATAAAATAAACAAGAGCACGGATAAATTGCGAGTGTATGATCGGAGTGTTTACTCACATGTTTGCTCACATGCACGATTGTGATCCATGATTTTATCTAGCTGATTGTACACTGAAGGTCACTGTGTACTTTGGGGGTCTTATTTTGCCCTGCTCGTTGAACATCTAAATAATGTTTTTATGCTTTTTGTACCTATAGGTTGCACCACAGAATGCGAACACCAAATATATTTTTTAGATAAACTGAAATTTTAAAAATGTGACCGGTACATTAAGCAATAAAACAAGCATGCACCAAGCTAAAAGGTATATTTTAAAAGCATTGTATGCTATCCTGTGTTTGAAAAAGTCAGCGTATGTACACATATTTATCATTGGAGTCTGTACTACAAGCACCAGTGCATGAAACCTTGCATGCTGACTAGTACCATTCTCCTTACATGTACGGTTCATTAAGACTTTTTTTTTTTTTACTAATGAAGGTTTTTTTAGAGCCTTCTTTAATGTCCATGCACACTTGATGGGGTTTTATTTCTCTATGGTGTGCACATCTAAAAATGTAAACAGTGCTTGTACAGACCAAGAAAGGATGGAGAAAAAAAAAAAATAGCAACACCACAACATAGTTGGTGTGTGTTTAGATGCTTGAACGTACATTCCATAGCGAACCACACTTCCGTGCATGTTCGCCAAAGCATGTGCTCAAATGAATGATAAATTCCCTAAGCATAGATTTTTGCATGTATGTACGCTGTAGCCTGTGCTCAAATGAATGATAAATTCCCTGAGCATAGATTTTCCATGTATGTTCGCTGTAGCCTGTGCTTAAATAAATGATAAATTCCCTGAGCATAGATTTTGCATGTATGTACGCTGTAGCCTGTGCTCAAATGAATGATAAATTCCCTAAGCATAGATTTTTGCATGTATGTACGCTGTAGCCTGTGCTCAAATGAATGATAAATTCCCTAAGCATAGATTTTTGCATGTATGTACGCTGTAGCCTGTGCTCAAATGAATGATAAATTCCCTAAGCATAGATTTTTGCATGTATGTACGCTGTAGCCTGTGCTCAAATGAATGATAAATTCCCTAAGCATAGATTTTTGCATGTATGTACGCTGTAGCCTGTGCTCAAATGAATGATAAATTCCCTAAGCATAGATTTTTGCATGTATGTACGCTGTAGCCTGTGCTCAAATGAATGATAAATTCCCTAAGCATAGATTTTTGCATGTATGTACGCTGTAGCCTGTGCTCAAATGAATGATAAATTCCCTAAGCATAGATTTTTGCATGTATGTACGCTGTAGCCTGTGCTCAAATGAATGATAAATTCCCTAAGCATAGATTTTTGCATGTATGTACGCTGTAGCCTGTGCTCAAATGAATGATAAATTCCCTAAGCATAGATTTTTGCATGTATGTACGCTGTAGCCTGTGCTCAAATGAATGATAAATTCCCTAAGCATAGATTTTTGCATGTATGTACGCTGTAGCCTGTGCTCAAATGAATGATAAATTCCCTAAGCATAGATTTTTGCATGTATGTACGCTGTAGCCTGTGCTCAAATGAATGATAAATTCCCTGAGCATAGATTTTCCATGTATGTACGCTGTAGCCTGTGCTTAATGAATTATAAATTCCCTGAGCATAGATTTTGCATGTATGTTTGCTGTAGCCTGTGCTCGAATGAATGATAAATTCCCTGAGCATAGATTTTGCTCAGCGCTATAAACCAGGAACGTAGATTTTGCTCAACCGTGCAGGATTAATGCACAGCCATATGTGCAAATATGGTAGTAAATCAGGCCCACTGTGTGAGTGACACCTTATCACAGCAGGTATTAAAGTAAAACTTAAGGCAACAGAACAAGGTCATCCTTTATGAGAGAAAACTTTGGAACATACATTAAAAGCCTCTACTTATAAAAGAAAATTGTAAAGATACTATACAATACTTTTCTAAAATCAGCTTAAATTATCTTGCTGGGGGGATTAATGCACAGGCTCGTGCTGGAAACATGTGATACACCACAAGGTTCCTGCAGTTGAGCAATTGTGTTAGCTTTGATTTGTTTTTTTTATTATATTATTATACAGGATTTATATAGTGCCAACAGTTTGCGCAGCGCTTTACAATATAAGGAAGACATTACAATCACAATACAAATCAAGACAAGATGGTAAGGAGGGCCCTACCCCTGAGGGCTTTCAATCTAAAAGGGAGGGGGAAGTGATACATGAGGAGGTAGCTGTGTGGGGATGAATTGTTTGAGAGCGTGAAGGTTGAGCGGTTAGGTTGAGGTGGGATAGGCTTCCCTGAAGAGATGAGTCCTATGGGATCGCCTAAAGGCAGTCAGTGTGGGAGATAGACGGACAGGTTGGGGTAGAGAGTTCCATAGGATGGGAGAGACTCTAGTGAAGTCCTGGAGGCGAGCATGGGAGGAGTTGACGAGGGAGCTGGAAAGCAGAAGGTCATTTGAAGAGCGGAGGGGACGGTTACGGTGATACTTTGAGACCAGGTTTGAGATATAGCGGGGGACGGAGTTGTGGATGGCTTTGTAAGTGGTTGTTAATATTTAGAATTTTACCCTTTGGGCGAGTGGAAGCCAGTGTATGTATTGACCGAGGGGGGTTGCAGACACTGAGCGGTTGGTTAGGTGAATGAGTCTAGCACCTTCATTCATGATAGACTGAAGGGGGGATAGCCTGTGTAGAGGTAGGCCAATGAGGAGGGAGTTGCAATAGCTAAGGCAAGATATAACAAGCGAGTGGATGAGTAATTTTGCGGTTTCATTGGTGAGGAAGGGGCATATTTTGGAGATGTTACGAAGGTGAAGGCGGCACATGGTTTGCTTCATAGGGGTCCTCATGCTTTTAATAGACACCTGTGAAAGAAAAAAGTAGAACCCATGTATGATGTATCCTTCTTAGCTTGTCAAAATCAAGTAAGTCTAGACTAGGAAAATAATGCCCCAAAACAATACCAGGTACGATCTAATATGATTTATATCTGCAGGCAAGATGTGATACATTGTATAAATGTTTCAAAATTATGTAAATTTTGGATCATAGGGGAATAGCTGAGCAAAAAAAAAAAACATAATACAGTCATATATCCCTCATGGCCATTCATTATCTGTGTGTCTTTGTATATATTGTAGTGGTGAGCTTCAAAACATAGGGCTTGCAAGGAGGTGGAGAAAGGTAAAGCCTATTCCCGACGCTGCTCAGGACCCAAAGAGGCTATATACATACATATACAATATATAGATATATACACACCCATATTTTTGTATCTTTATCCCTCATATTAGTTTGGGGCATTTTATATCAAACTGATTGGTGCGATTTAAATAATTTGAAGAATAATCAACTGTGGAGAATATTATTTAAAATATCTACTGTGTATTATTATTCCGCTGTTCAAGTCCTGTACTCACATCTCTGTTTTTGTTACAGACACAGATCCACGTGTCTTGGAGAAGCAGGAACTTCAACAACCAACATATGTTGCGTTGAGCTACATCAACAGGTACATGTTAATTTCTTTACTAATACTTTGGGGTATTTAGACATGAATATATTTTAGAATTCCGAACAATGTAATATTAACGTCACAATGTCATTAAGTCAACACTGTTTGGGATGAGCTGTGCAAGAAAACTGTTCTGGCACTGCCTTGTAGTCTCCTACAAGCATCTAATAAGGTGGTGACTGATTCTGGAACTGCACTATGGAAACTGAGGCAGCCGAGCCACAACATAGGGCCGTGCAGCCAGATTTACGATGCCATGAAAACAGCTTTGTTACTTTATTAAAATGTTTGCTCATATTATGGTTTTTAGCAGCTAGAATCAAAGAAACATTATTAAGTCATTTCAATCATATTTGCTCAGAGAACACTGTTGGGACACTAGGGGCAAGCACTGACCCCATTCATTTTACTCACTTTTATGAGGTGAATATTTCAGAGGAGGCTTATGATTACAGCGCTATGGCTTTTCTTCTGCTTACAAACCTGGTTATACCCTGTAAGTTTCCCAAACTTTCCACAAGAACCATAGTGGTCAATACATATTTGTTGGTCCTTGTGTGTGAAAATGTTGGACCTTTCCTCACTCAAGACAATTCTGAAAGTACTTAGCCTTAAGACACAAATCTATTTTACAGATGAGAACCTGCCATAGTGGAGCTCATGTCAACTCCGATAGGTCTAGTATCATATAGCACCTTTCTTTCCATATGTAGTAAATAGTATTCCCACCAACAAAAGGCAAGAATCAAACATAATACAAGTGCTTCTTCTGATTAAAGATATGGGGTTTTCTCTGCAGTAACATGCTATGCACTCATTTGCACTGGACATGTATGTACCAAGGGGATATTAAACCCAAACTCAATTCCCAACAAAGAAATGTTGTCCAATAATCATCAGAAGTACATTTAATGATCCTCACTACCCTAAAATGACCTTTGATTGAATTACCTAGCTTGTACTAATAGGTAACACCAACATTTTCAACTAACTACTCTCTCTTGAATTTGATCAGATAACTAGACCTAAAGTGACACTAAACTCAGGAGTTAAATCTTAAAAATGCATTCAAGTACCTTAGGTATTCATTTAAAAGTGATGTCTGGTGACAGGTACCTTAACTTTTAACAAAAATTTATCTTATTTGTGTATCAGTCAGCTGTAGATCTTCAATTCATCTCTGAATTGGTGCTGACACTGTTCTTCCTTCTGGAGGGTGGCTACTTTTGTTTCCCATGGTCCCTGTGTGTTGTAAGGTAGCCACCGCTCCAAGCTCATTCCTGTGATGGACTACAATCTCAATACAAATTATTGAACTAAACATGAGATTGTATTCCATGACGGGAGCGAGCTTGGAGTGATGGCTACTTTAAAAGACACAGGGGCCATGGAGAACAAAAGTAGCCACCTTCCAGAAGGAAGGACAGTGTCAGCATGAATTTAGAGATGATTTGAGGATCTCCAGCCGAGTAATTCACAAATAAGATAAATTTTTTTAATAGTTAAGGTACTTGTCACCAGACATCACTTTAAAATGCTTCCAGTTGTAATATCTATATCTCAAGAAGGAGCTTGGCCAGCACAGAGAGTAATATGGCACTCCCAGAAGAGTAGAGGGCTATATGTTTAAAAAGGGAGGGGAAGTGCTAGGAAATGGACTCCTCCAGGAGTTGTCAAAGTTTCTAGCAAGTTGAAAGGCATATTGCAAGTGAAAACTAAATCAATTTATGTGAAAGAAAAACTCTGCAAGTAAATATTTTCAGATTCTTGATTTTTCTGCACTTCTATCTGCATTTATTTAAGCTGGCGACAGGCTCTGTTTACCACTTGTATGGCCTATTCAGCACCATTTCCATTGCAATAATTTGCTGACTGATATACAGTTACTGATGATCGCAATACAAATCAGTGGATAGGTTGCCATGATTGACTTCAGGAATCCTTAGTTATGAGGGATTTCTGCAAGAATGAAAATCTTGCTAAAATTGCCTATATAGTTTAGGCTTTATGTCCCGATGATTATGATTCATATTTAGCAAGACATTTTCCAGAACCAAAACGTATTATTATCCACTATAAAAATATCACTATAAAAAATAGGCATACACTCTCACTATTAGATTTTCTTTGTCTAAAATTCAATTTTTGTGTTTTAGTAAATGATCCTGTGGTGCTTGATCTAACGACACTGCAAAAGTGCTGAAAGCACTTTGAGCATTGCTGATGCACATGCAGTCTTAAATTTCTGGCTTATGCCAGGCTTATATAAGAGAGTAGATAAAATGCCATTTTCACCATGTTGAAAATGTCTTAAAATTTTCAGCCTCATCGCTATGGAAACGCTTGTTTCTGAAGAGTGCAATGCTATGATGGAAGTTTTAGTCCTTCAATAGGAGCTGGTTCAGATTTCTTTGACGTGAGGCAGAGACTGATGGATCAAAGCCACACATCTCTCATCAGATAATAATTCCTTCTTCCTATTTTTATGTTGTGGTGACTACACTGATCATGTGTTTTTATTCATGAGCTAAAACCTCTACATTTTGCTATCTGAGCTTTTTCTACAAAAAGCAACAGGAAAACTTTAGATATCAATTCAAACAAGATGTGCGCAAATGGCTCCTGGGTCAGGGAAAAGGGAAACGTGTTGTGTTGCACAATGATTTATGTATTTGACTTAATTTTCTATCCTTTTATCAGATATTAAGTTCGCCAGAGTGTAACTTTCTTGAACTTGATAAAAACACTTCAATCTCTTTTACATGTCAGTTGTAAAGATCAAAAAAAGGGGATCCTTCGGGAACAAAGAGTATATGTTACAAAGTATAGCCCTCGTAGGATTATAGAAAATTGACCAGTGTTATCTGGCAGAGACCACACATTACTGAGCTGATTCTCTTTCTCTGTACATCTTGATACAAGATATTAAATCATGTTCACCATATACATACAGTTTACATACTCTATGGCCATTTTTAGGTACACTTGTCTAGTAACTAAACGGGGGTGTTACATTTTAATGATGCTCAGTCGGTATAAATGGTCCCAGGAAAACATTCCTCCATTACACCAGCACCACCTATTGATGGGATAAAGTTATAGATTCATCTTGCATCCTTAGAATTTTTACCTTAGTTCTGTAGCAGCAAACTGTTACATTAATCTAGCCAGGAAAAGTTATTCCAGTCAGCAGTCATCTAGTTTTAAGGATCCTTTCACCATAGTAGCCTCAGTTTGCTGTTCTCAAATGATAGGTGTAGAACCCAGCGTGATATTCTGCTGTTGTGGTCCATTTATAGTATTACATGCTTTCAGGGTTATTTACAAAAGGGTGAAGAGTTTGGAGAAGGCAGGAGAAGTCAACAATCTAGGCCAAAATAGCTGATTTCTCCAATTCAGCTCACTTTCCAGTTCAGCTATGTTGTCCTAGATTGTTCACTTCTCCTGCCTTCTCCAAACTCTTCACCCTTTTGTGAATAGACCTGTGTGTGTTCGGACATGCTCTTCTGCACCCATCTGTTGTAAAGATGGGCTATAGTGCACAATGGGGTTGATTTACTAAAGTCAAAAAGGGCAATCACTATGCAAGGGAATTTTCACTTTGCTAGGGAACTTCCCCTTAGCTTAGTGAATGTGGTGAACATTGGATTTGCAAAGAATGCTCAATCACATGCAAGGACAATACAAAAAACAGTGTTTTGCTTGCACATGATTGAATGATGGAAGTTAGCAGAGCTTCGCCTCATTCGCTACACCTACGCCAGGGTAAAATTCTCTTGCAAAGTGAACAGCCTATTTGCCTTTGGTAAATCAAACCCTAAATGTCAGTTTGAACTGGCCCAGGGATGATTTTAGACATATACATAAACCAAATAAGAAAAAAAGGGATCAGTACACCTACATTGAAATTCACCTGATTTTCTTTGTAAATCAGGGTCTCAGACTCAATTCACTCGTGGGCCACTCGACAATTTTTTTTCTCCCATGGGGGCCACTTGCCAAATTTACTTTAAAATAAAATGTAACTATAGCTGGTATGGTACTATGGACACTAATACACACACAATAAGGTCCCATTCGTATCTGTAAGTTTAGGTGTGATTAGGGATTCCTGCATCAGGAACTTGCGTTTTCCTGCAGCAGGAATGCCTAATGTGTAGTTTACAAGCGGCAGCTGTCACCCGTTGAAGTTAACGATCAGGTGACAGCCACTGCATGTAAACGCATGCACACCGCATTTAATGTTATGTAATATGATTACATTTGGTTAGGAATCAATCACTATCCCTGGACGCATTGATTGTGCATTCAGAGAGAGTGTTTTCTATCCACATAGTACCGGTACTTTAAGACCAGTTATGTAAATAGATAAAATTACTTTCTATCAAACACCACCATACATTAGAAAGCATTCCATATGTCTATTTCCTTGTGGAGCAGATTCATTTTATTATTTGAGACATTCATGGTTTTCTGGCAGTTGGCAAATACGCCAGATAGCTAGTCTGGGCCTGGAACCTAAAAAAACTTCTGACATTGATGCCAGGATGGTTATCAGTGTACCCCCTGTAATTTAGACTACAGTAATGGAGGCATTTTGTAATTATATATGGACAGCAGTATGCATGTATTTGCATTACTAGCATATTTTTCACATGTTTTTGCTTCCATATGCCTCATTCTATTGCCCTTTGAATCTTACTCATGAGCAAGCTAGGCTTTCTTTAGATTTTGGTCCTCTCTACAATTAACATGGGTCCTAAGCATGCTAAATGGTCAGATCCCTAAGTTTTATTCACTCTTAAGTATACTTTATTAACTTTATAGAACTAGTACTATTTATATTAATAGTTGTATTCTAAGTACTTCCATATTGCTACATCATCATGTGAACAATGAACACAGCCTCATTGATGGCTAAGTGCTTAGAATCTGTCACACGTGATAAGTAAGGGGATTCTGGGTATATATATGAGACAGCTGCATTTCCTGCATGC